GTGTGAAGATGCTGGGGACTTAGGGAAGGGGCCATGCCTGTGGCTTCCCACCAGTGTGTGTGAAGATGCTGGGGACTTAGGGAAGGGGCCATGCCTGTGGCTTCCCACCAGTGTGTGTGAAGATGTTGGAAGGAAGGTGCGTCTGCAGGTTTTGACGATGGCACATGCCCACCTCTGAAAGCTCACGTTCACATCTTTCATTAGAGTGAGTCTCTGGTGGTTGACCCACATGAAGGAAGGAGAGAAATGACCTCTGACCATATATGTAATGTGGCATGTACATATCCACACACCTGTAGAATGTAAATAAATGTAACTAAGAAACCCAGGGGTTTTCCAGGTATGGGGCAGGAAAGTTACGTTTCTGTTAGGCAAAATGTGACCTACAGAAAGTCGCAATGTTCCCTTCTTGTGGGCCTGTGTGCTCCATTTTGTATGAGAACAGGCTTTACGCCTCACTCCTGGAACCTGGCCTGCTCTGCCCTGCTCCGAGCATAGCAGGCTCAGTCATGTGCACACCACATCTGCCACCCTTCGCCTCTGAAATGATAACGGTGTGTCTTCACTTCCTCTGCAGCCTGACGGTTCCTCTGTGCACACCTGAGCCTGGTGTCCCAGGCTGCACCGAGGCCTTTTACTGTACAGCTCTCTGGAGGAGCCATGTGGCTGCCAGGCCCGGGCTCCAGCTCTGGTCTAGGAACAGACTGAGCACACAGAAAATGGCAGGAAGCGATGACTAAGCTGGCTCTGTTCTTGCTCTGACGGCCTAGTTGCCTCTCCCTGCAGGTCATCTTTCTGTCCAAGGGGAAGGACGCCATGCAGTCCTTCATGATGCCGTTCTACCTGATGAAGGACTGTGAGATCAAGCAGCCAGTGTTCGGTGCAAACTTCATCAAGGGAACAGTGAAGGCTGAAGCAGGAGGTAGGTGGCAGAGTTGCTCAGGGACGTGAGTGAGTCTCCAATGAGATGTTCTGGGCATCTCTTGACAGCCACATGGAGTTGCCCCTTTCCAAGCCTTCCCCTTCCAGCCAAGGATGAATTTCTGATGCCTGGGCTAATGGCCAAGCAGTACATGTGGGTTTTGGTTACCAAGGGCTGGGAAGCGCTGGGTTAGATTGTCCTTTTGTTCCAAGAGCGAGCCCAACAAAAAAACTAAAAACTAAAGGTGCTTATTTTTCCCCAGGGAGGGCCAGGTTTTAGGGAAGGAGTTGTGTCTCATTTCTGGGTGGGGCCTTCCATGAGAGCCAAGGAAAGGCAGCCGCCTCGCCAGAGGCTGGCAAAAACTAGCTCTGTGACCGACTTCCAGACTCCAGCAGGCTCTTGTCAACCTCACCCCCTTTACTCCCAGCCGGACCGGAGGGGCCATGTTCTGTCCTGAGGCTCCTTACCAGGAGGGTTCTGCTAAGCGCTTTACTGGGGGTGGAAAGTAACAATCAACTGTGTAGCCTTGGCGCTGGCTGGGCACCTGGCTGGGGTGGGGGAAAGCCCTGGTGAGTGGATGACACCCATAGGCAGGAGCCAGGCCAGTCTGCAGCACCAGGCCTTGTGTGGGCCACAGGCAGGAGCCCCACCCCTTCCCAACAGGCCTTCTCGATGTTGGATGATGGCCAGAAGAGGATAAAGAGCCATCTCTCTGGGCTGAACCTGTTTTCTTTCTTACTGTTCATTCACTGTCCTTGCCCTTCTCAGGTGGCTGGGAAGGTTCCACTTCCTACAAGTTGACCTTCACAGCAGGGGGCGCCATTGAGTTTGGGCAGCGGATGCTCCAGGTGGCATCTCAAGGTATCCACGCTCTTAAAAATTGGGGGCTAAGAACACATCAAACATGGGTTTTTTGTTTGTCCTTTTATCTTGCATTGTAAGCAACGGGAAGTAACTATCTCGGCCCAGCTGACAGCGTTGGGAGCTGGGGGAAGAAACCTGTAATTACCATCTGTGGGTGTCCTCTGCCCAGAACAGGCTTGCAACATTCTGACAGAAATGTTTGGACTGAAAAACAAACAAAAAACCCAACTGTTAAACTACCGTCCAGCAGCCATTGTAAATCACCAAGCCTTATGCTGAGCATTGGCTCCCTCTCATTTTTCACTTCCTCCGCCCAGCAGAACGCCTTTCCCTTCACTTCCCTCTTCACTCCTGTCCTTGACCCCTGCCTGTTGCCTTCTGACCTTTTCCTACCCTCTCCTCACCACGTGGTGACCTAGGCAGACCCAGTGGGGTGGGCCGTGAAATGATGGTAGGGCACGTCTGTGGCCACAGTCCTGGGACCCGTCAGTCCCTGAGGCAGGCGACACTCATCTCTCTCTCCCCTTGTACTTATAGCCTCCAGAGGTGAAGTCCCCAATGGAGCCTATGGGTACCCTTACATGCCCAGCGGGGCCTATGTCTTTCCCCCGCCAGTCGCCAATGGAATGTACCCCTGCCCTCCTGGCTACCCCTATCCACCGCCCCCACCTGGTGAGTGTGTCCTCTGCTGCCCAGCCTCAGCCTCCCCGCCCATCTACCCATTGCAGACGGGAGACATGGCCTTTCACCTGCTTTCACCTAACAGACATTGGAGAGTTTAGGGGGTACCCCAAGGAACTAGGCAGGACACTCCCAGAACCAGCCTTCTGAGGGAGCCGAGCAGGGCTGCTCAGACCTGTCACTCTCTTCCCAAGCAGAGTTCTATCCAGGACCTCCCATGATGGATGGGGCCATGGGATACGTACAGCCCCCACCACCACCGTACCCTGGGCCCATGGAGCCTCCAGTCAGCGGCCCCAGTGCCCCCTCCACTCCTGCAGGTGAGGCCCCTCGTCTGCCAGCAGTCCAGCAGGACCAGCCGCCTCCTCCCCAAGGTCTTACAGAGAACCCCACACAATGGTTGGAGATCACTGAGCCTCAGAGGATGAAAGGCCTCTGGCTTACAGACCTCCCAAAGGCACCAACAGGGTGTTTGGTCCCAAGGGCTGGGTGTGGTTCAGTGAGCACTTGCCTGAATGGGCTAGCCTGGCTTCTCTCCCCAGCCTCACAGAACACGAATCTGAAGGTAGCTGAGACGACCTCTAGAGTCTAGGCTTGTTGGCTCTCAGCTTGCAGTGACCTTCTTAGACCAAGACCCTGTCTGCCTCCGTGTTCTCATTTACAGATGGTCCTAGGACCACCTGATAGACTCAGTGCCAAGGGTGTGTAAAGGAACTGTAAAGAGCATTCCAGCACATGGCAGGTGCTTAGGAAAACCACTGCAGCTTTTGTTGATGGCCTGAGTCACCCACACCAGCTAAACTCAGCCAAGGGCAGAGGAGGGGACTTGTCACTTGTTGCCATCTCCCCGTGTGTTTGCTTTCGCAGCTGAGGCCAAGGCCGCAGAAGCCGCTGCCAGCGCCTATTACAACCCGGGCAACCCACACAATGTCTACATGCCCACGGTGAGTTGGCCTGGGGGCTAGTGTGGAAAGAGACCACAGCTCGTTCTATGATGTCTCATGTGGTCTTTGTTTTTTTTCCTCTAGAGCCAGCCTCCACCACCACCCTACTACCCCCCAGAAGACAAGAAGACCCAGTAGACCCTACCCTCCTCCCTGCCTCTTCCCGATGACCCCTTCCTGGGCCTCCATGGAGCTGCATCTGGGATTCCCGGAGGCCAGGGAGGGCCCTGTTCGACCCCTCATTATAGACAGTTAGCAGGAACTAGCCCTGATGGAAGGGTAGAGCTCCCGGCCTCTGAGAGGCAACTCCCAGCATCCCACGCTAGCTCAGCCTGCTGTGCTGCTCCACCCAGCTTCCCTTTCACCTTGTCTGGGACTCCGAGGAGTACAGGAGTACCCTGTTCCTCGCTGTAGCAGGTCCTCCCCACACAGAGACTGGCCACTCCTCCCCCGCAGTCCAGCCCCCTCAGCCTGATAGCCCCCGTACCCCATCTCTTGGGCTCATCAGACCAGCCAGGTGTCTCCCCAACAGGCCCTGCCAAGCCATGTTAACATTCCTTGCCCTGTGTGTGCCTGACCCTGGAAGGCCGCTGTCCCAGCAGACTGTCAGTCCACATTCCCTTTGGCCATGCTCCGACCTCAGTCATACTCACCCTGCCACACTTGCTCTCTGTTGCCTCCAGGTTTTGAGAATTTTACTGAGTTTCTGGTGGTTGGTAGCATCAGAAGCAAAGCCGCTGTGGTGGAGAAGCCCTCTGCCCCTCTGCTAGGGTTTCTGGGAATTATTTCCCCTCCTCTCCTCTCCCCTTTACAAGGGCCTTCTCCCAGGGAGCAATAGAGAACACATGTCCCCCCCCATCAGGCCCTTTGGTCTGGAATAAGAGCCTTCAACCATGTGACCTATAACCCGTCATCCTCCCCTCTGTAAACTTCACACCCCCTGGATGCACTAAGATTAGCTCTTGTTCCTGGTCTGAACAAAAAAATGAGATGGTTATTTAAAGAGAAATTGCCTATTTATTTGACACAAACACAAAAATCCAGTTAATATATATTAATGTGAATTAAACCCTGTTTGCACCTTGATTTGTTTGCTACAACTGTGAAATAGTAAAAATGAAGTAACTGAACGCTCTCTGACTCTGTGTGGTGACCGGGTGAGGTTTTCCGGAGGAGGCTGCTGTGGGCGGGGCCAGAGAGCCTGTTTCCTCCTCAGTGAGTCTCTGGGTGCGTGTTCCCCATATCCTACACAGGCCCCTGTACCTGCCTGGCATGGTATGTCGTGCCACCCCCTGCCAGCTGGGGGCAGGACAAGGCCTGTGTCCTATCTCCTCCCAGTTCCCTCCTGAGCACAGGCTGCAGCTTTGTTCCCTAGGTGTGCCAGCACTCCTGTGAGAGAGTGGCTGGTGCCTTCGTGCCACCTTACTTAGGGAAAAAGAGGACAGAATAAAGCCAAATCCATATATACCCAGGCCTGACCCCACTCAGTGAGGCAAAGAGCCGTGGGAGATCCCACGGCTGAAGTGTCAGCTCCTCACCAAAGTGCTCCTGCGCGGAGAGACTGCCCCAAGGCTTCCTCTTCCTTCCGACACCACCCCTGGGACCTCTCGGGGTTAGTGAAGTCCCCTGACCCTCACTGGTGGGGCTGAGCTTCATGTCCTTTCTGTCCATCCCTGACGAACTGAAAGTAGTCCCGCTCCTTCCCTGCCAAGTCACCTGTGGGGTGGAGCCTCTCAGGAAACACTGCCCTGAGCCTGCCCCACCCTAACCCAGATCTGGGGCCCATTTAGAAAACCTGAGGAGAATGCCACAGGTCTAGGTCGGCTTACTTGGTCCAGGCATAGCTGAGGCAGCTGCTGCCTAGCCTGGCCTTACCACCCTGTCCAGGCGTTCTGGACTCTTCCCCCAGAGGCTGTGTGGGACGGTGGGTGGAGCTTACCCGCCTACTGGGCCCACTTTCTGCCCCAGGCTGGGGAGGATCCTGCAAGGGTCCAGGCTGAAAGGGAGATGCAAGGAGCCTGGGAGAAGACACCTTCAAGGCAGTGACACCCTGACCCTTCTATCCCTCCACCCTCCCCTGGCAGAGGGTGTATCTTGGGGCTCTTTGCATCATCCTGTGGCTTCCACCCGGCAGCCAGGGGGTGGCAGAGGGAAGGGCAGAGCCAGCCACCATGGCGACACACCTCTCCCACCCCCAGCGGCGCCCTCCGCTCATGCGCCAGGCCATCAAGATAAGGCGCCGCAGGGTCAGAGACCTGCGGGATCCACCGCCCCAAACCACCAAGGAGGTAGGAGTGACTACGAAAGGCAAAGAGCCAGCTGGGGGTACTTGGCAGTCTTGGGGCCCGGATGTGGGAGGCTGTCTGTCCCCATTCAACTGCCCTCTATGGCTCTGGGCACAGCCTTGGAGGTGGGCAGAGAGAGGCCCACCACGTGTTCTTGGAGCCATGGTGGGCTTCTCTAGTCCTTTCCCTTTGGTGGGCCTGTACCTCCAGCCCTGTGCTCCCGCTCTGAAGGCACCAGCTCCCTGAAGCAATATCTCTCCACTGTGAGTGGGCTGCCCAGGGACCCCCTTGAGCTACTCGAGACCTGTCTACTGTTTTCCCCCCACTCACCCACCTCTGCTCTCTGCTGCTAGGCCTCACTTCCGCTGCTGGGGTGAGGAGCCGGTGGCCTCCTGATAAGCACTGCTGTTTCCTCTGGGGAAGGAAGGGGGGGCAGGTGTTAGAGAGCCCACTGCTGGGCCAGCTGAATGCCCATGGACCTCAGGCATGGCAGGCCAGGGGATAGGCAAGATGGCCCAGGGGTCAGCCCTTCAGGGAGCCTTGTGTTGGAAGAGGTGAGAGGCATCAGTGGGCCCAGAGGTTGAGGTGCTGGGTCCCCGCTGTCTCAGGCCTGGGCCTTCCTGCCTGGCTGGATAGGCCTTCAGGGGTACCTTGTCTTCTACCTTGCTCCTAGGTCCAGGTTCAGTCCCACCTCTTCTCCCCAGAGGAGGTAAGAGGTGGAGCTGGGAGGGTGTGGGAGCTGCGGGAGGTGGCCCCTGGCCCCAGAAGCACAGTGGTGGAGGCAACAACCTGGCAGGGAACATTCTGGGTCTCCACCTTCACTACATTGTCTGCCGCTTTGTCCCTTTTCTGGGCCTGAGGCGTCATTGTCGGGGAGGAGGGCTGCTGGGTGAGGATGGGGTTCCTGAGGTGGCCCTGCTGTGTCTCAGCGGGACCTGCTGTATGAGGAAGCCCTCTATACTGTCCTGCACCGCCTGGGTCAGCCAGAGCCCAACCATGTGAAAGAGGACTCGGCACTGCTGCGCTATCTGCAGGAGGTAAAAACAGCTCCACTATTCTCCATCTTCCTATGCCAAGACTGACTCAGCCCTGGCTTCCTACCAGGCCTCCCCACCTCGTGACTCCAGCCTCCCGCACCTCTGCCCCCCTTCAGGCTTTCCAGGTGCAACCTGAGGAGCACCGGCAGATGCTGCAGCATGTCAGGGAGCTTGAGGTAACCTGGACCAGGGCACCCTGGGCAAGGAAGGGGCATGGAAAGCCTAGCCTTCTCAGGAACTCAGGCAGCCCCCTTCATCTCCCTCCAGAAGCCAATATTTTGTCTGAAGGCTACAGTGAAACAGGCCAAGGGCATTCTGGGCAAGGATGTCAGTGGTGAGTGTGGTTGGGGTGTCCTGGATGACCTTCCCCCATCACAGCCTGGCCTTAAACTCTTCTTTGCCAGAGAGCCAATCCCCAAAACATGCCCCCAGCTGCTAGCCTCTTGTGCTTAGATGCTGAGTTTCTAGGGACCTTATCCAGCTTTCTCAGGAGGAGGCTGGGCCCCAGGGGGGGGGGGGGGGCTGATGGGAATTCAAGGAAACCTGGCTGACTCCCTGGAGTCTTGTCTCTCATTCCTTCCCAGGGTTCAGTGACCCCTACTGCCTGCTAGGCATCGACCAGGGGATTGGCATGCCAGAAGGCAGCCCTGTGTCCCGGCGTCGGCAGAAGGCTGTAGTGAGACACACCATCCCTGAAGAGCAGACCCATCGCACCCAAGTCAAACCCCAGACACTTAATCCCGTCTGGGAGGAGACCTTTATCTTGTATGTGGCCTGGTTCCAGACTCTGTCCTCTAATCCATACTCTTGTCTTGGGCTTGCTTTTCCAGACAATGAGATCAGTGATCTTCCTGGATGGAGAGGGAGCTTAGGCCTTGGTTCTCAACTGGAGCTGCAGGGAGACTCAGCTAGATAGGACCGACCCATGGCATTAAGTGCAGATCATGTGTCTGCCTGATGTAGTGCCGCATACCTGTAATCCTAGCGCTCGAGAGAATAAGGCGGGGAGATGGCGCATTCAAGACTAACCTAGGCTATATGGCAAGACCCTGCCAAACAAATAAGTAAACATGCCTTAGAGTAGTAGAGGAGGGAGAGTTGGGCCCCCCCTGGGTGAGTGGGGGCCAGGGGACAGTGCACCCCTTCCTTGAAGAAGGTAGAGAGGTGGTTAGGAAGGAGGAACCATGCTGGGTGGGGCAGCTCAGTCTTTAATTCCAGCATTTGGGAGGTAGAGGTAGGTAGATTTCTATGAGTTCGAGGCCAGCCTTGTGAGGCCAGACATTGTGAGTCCCAGGCCAGCCAAAGCTATGTAATAAGATCCTGTACCCAAGAGAAAAATAAAAATAAAAAGGGAGGGAAGAGCCTGGTGGTGGTGGTGGCACACTCCTTTAATCCCAGCACTCAGGAGGCAGAGGCAGGTGAACATTGTGAGTTTGAAGCCAGCCTGGTCTATGGAGTAAGTTCCAGGATGGCCAGGCTACACAGAGAAAGCCCTGTCTCAAAAAACGAAACAAGACAAGACAAAAAAGAGGGAGGGGGAAAACTAGGCAGGAAGAGGCTACCACTATATTGGGGATGGCAGTTACAGAGGCAGGCTCTAGGCTTGTGGCCAACTTTGGTGGCCTGGTCCAACAGGGATGTGCAATGGGGATCCTGCCCTGCTAAGGCTCTTAAGCATACATGTTCTTTTCTCTCTAAAGGGAGTTTGAGGACATAACGAATGCAAGCTTTCACCTGGACATGTGGTGAGTGGCATGCCCTGACTCTGGGGATGAGGACCAAATCTGGCAAAGTCACAGGCCCCTTCTCTGCCCCTTGCTCAAACCTCTGGCCTACAGGGACCTGGACACTGTAGAGTCCGTCAGACAGAAGCTCGGAGAGCTCACGGACCTGCATGGGCTCCGAAGGTGGGCGCAGCAGACTCATGGGTGGTAGCGGGGTAGTCCTCTGCCTTTTCGTGTGCACCCGGGCTCTGGAAGGCAGGCTCTGCCCTTGGGTGCCCAGGTGGCTATCTCCTCACCAGTCTTGCCTAAAGCAGGATCTTTAAGGATGCTCGGAAGGATAAAGGCCAGGATGATTTTCTGGGGAACGTGGTTCTGAGGTTACAGGTGAGGAAGAGCCAGGAGAGAAGCAAAGACAGGGAGGAGGAGGGCTCTGAGGGACTCCAGGTCTGACCCAGCCTGAACCTGGGGGCTGCCCCAACTGCTTCCCTGTCCTCCCCTGAGCCCTGTACAGGGTCCTGATTCTCATTGTGTGCCTTGCCTGCTAGGACCTGCGCTGCCGAGAGGACCAGTGGTATCCACTGGAGCCCTGCACAGAGACCTACCCGGACCGTGGCCAGTGTCACCTTCAATTCCAGTTCATTCACAAGCGGGTAGGTCCAGGGCCTGAGATACCGGCTGTGTCATTCTCAGTTAGTGGTCCTCCTGAGTTGGGGAGGGCTGACTGTACCTAGCATGGGGCCCTCTGCTCATAGCCCTGCCCTCCTTATTGCAGAGAGCCACAGTGGCCAGCCGCTCCCAGCCCAACTACACTGTCCACTTCCATCTGCTGCAGCAGCTGGTGTCCCATGAAGTCACTCAGCACCAGGTATGACTGTCTTCCAGAGCTGGGCACCACCAGGCCCACCTGTCGTGGCGGTCCTGATATGCCTCAACCACTTCCCCTAGGCTGCCAGTACCGCCTGGGATGCATCGCTGAGTCCCCAGGCTGTCACCATCCTCTTTCTCCACGCCACTCAGAAGGACCTGTCGGACTTCCACCAGTCCATGGCGTGAGTACAGAGCCCTTCTCGGAACCCCGAGGGCACCTCATCTGCCCTGCCTGCCTGCTGGCAGCTCAAAGCACAACTCTCAAGAGCGTGCTCTTCGGTCTAAACTGTGTTTTTTAAGTTTGGAGTCAGTTAACAAACTTTGACATCTGGACATTTTGTGCATAACTCGGTGGTTCATGAAACAGGAGTGCTGGAATTGCATGTTGGCCAGAGAAAAGTGGTGCGTCCTGTTCTTTTGAGCCATCCCTTCACCGCCCCAGGCAGTACCAATCACTCACTGCCATCATATCTCGAGTCCTGGGCTTTTGTATTTGCCTCTGTGTTGTAGACCTATTTCCTAATGCCATTGGCTCATGGCAGCAGTTGATAACTCATAAGTGGATGTTAAAATGACTTGGTAGTGCAAGTCAAATCCAGCATTCAAAAGATGGAGGCAGGAGGATTGCAGCAAGTGTGAGGCCACCTTGGACTACACAGTGAAACCCTGTCTCAGAAAACAAAATTCTAAAAATGACAAGCCTGTCAAGGGCCATCATGTACCCCGGGCTGTGCCAGCTTCTGGGAATGCCAGGAAGGGGCACTCATGAATGATTGGCATACCAGCCTGTGTGGAGTACATAAGAATGGTCACAGCCAGTTGCTGGGCAAGAGGAGGAAGAACAGAATGCCACCTGGAGCCTGGCTATGACTTGGTCTTTGAGTGAGAAACAGGTTGGAGGAGGAGGGTGATTCTGGGCTTTGTATGCTTCTGGGCTCTTGGGCAAATGGGCGCTCCTGAAGAGGAAGCTGGGGCAGAGGTGAGGCCAGCGAGATACCAGATAGCCAGGAGCCAGGTTCCCTGTCAGGATCTAGGCATTTAATGCAAGCAGTAGCTAATCTGAGGGACCTCAGCCTGTCCCTGTCTGCCCCTGCTTCCACCATAACCTCAGCTAGCGCAGGCACGCCTCCATCTAGTCTCCTAAGAGAACTTCCAGCTGATGGTTCCCGTGTGTGTAAGACTCGACTCTCTAAATCTGCCTTAAAACAAAACAAAACAAAACAAAACAACAACAAAGAAAACAAGAAACCCTGAAGAGTTGTTGTTGTGTTTTTTGTTGTTGGTTTTTGGTTATTTTCAAAACAGGGTTTCTCTGTAGCCTGTCCTGGACTCACTTTGTAGACCAGGCTAGCCTCAAATTCACAGCAGTCCGCCTCCCTCTTCCTCCCTGATGCTGGGATTAAAAGCATGCGCCACCAGGCCTGACTTGAAACCCTGAAGTTTTCTCTAGGCACTTAAATGAGCACTTGGGAGGTGGAGGCAGGAGCGTCAGGAGTTCAAGGTCATTCTCAGCTGCATAGTGAGTTAGCGCGATGCCTAGTCAGGAAATGCTCGCTCTGCAAACAGCAGGCTCTGAGTTCAGTCTGCAGCGCGCCAGCATGGTGTGCCTTGGCATAGCTGTAAGGCCAGTCCTGTGGGTGGTGGGGTGGTGGCAGTGCACAGACAGGAGTCCAGGGGAATTGTGGAACTTTAGGACTGATTGAGGAACGTACTTGACCTGTGACCGTCACACACACACACACACACTGAAGGTTTTATTAAAGAACTGTCTTATTTATGTGTATGTGTTGTCTGTGTGATCATATACCACCTGTGTTTAGATGCCTTCACCAGCCAGACAGACGAGGGCACTGGTTCCCCTGCAGTCTGCGTTGCAGACAGTCATGAACCCCTCTCCAGGGGATGCTGGGAACCAAACTCAGCTCTTCTGGGAGAGCAGCCAGTGCTCTTAACTGTTGGGACATCTCTCTAGCCCCAGTTGGTACAAGCACTTTTACCCACTGAGTCATCTTACTGACCCTAGAAATAGTGAAGTGCCTTTTCTGTTTTTGTTTTTTGTTGTTGTTTGAGACAAGGTCTCTCTAGCCCTGGCTGACCTAGAATGTGCTATGTAGACCAGGCTGATTTCTAACACAAAGTGACCCACCTGCCTCTGCCTCCCAATTTGGAGAATTCACCATGCCCAGCTCTGAAGTTTTATCCATACAACGCACAATTTAAGAGTCAGGTGAGGCTGGAGAAGTAGGGAACCCCTTTAATCCGAGCACTTGGAAAGGAGAGGCCGGCAGATCTCTTTGAGTTTGAGGCCAGCCTGGTCTACAAAGTGAGTTCAGGATAGTCAAGGCTACACAGAGAAACCCTGTCTTGAAAAAAACAAAACCAAACTCCCAAAGTTAGGCAACTTGAAAAGCATCTATAGAAACGAACAGAGGCCCTGTGAGTCACACTATCAGCCACTGGTCTTCGGCCTCTACTGGTGGACTGAGTAGGGAGATGTTGTTTTCCTGGGCCCCCGCCTGAGGGCTTCCTGTTTCTGCAGGCAATGGCTGGCCTACAGCCGCCTCTACCAGAGCCTGGAGTTCCCCAGCAGCTGCCTCCTGCACCCCATCACCAGCATAGAGTACCAGTGGATCCAGGGCCGGCTTAAAGCGGAACAGGTGAGAGCTATGAGTGGGGCAGGCAGGGCTCTGGAGAGCCACAGGCCTGTAACATCTCTCTGGGTTTGCAGCGGGAGGAGCTGGCCACCTCCTTCACGTCCCTGTTGACCTATGGCCTCTCCCTCATCCGGAAGTTCCGCTCTGTCTTTCCCCTGTCTGTCTCTGATTCCCCATCCAGGCTGCAGTCCCTCCTCAGGTCAGTGGCTACCCTTTTGTTCTGCAGTGCGGTCAGGGATGAGCATGCAGGGGTGGCATTTGCAGGGAGGAGTCAAAAAGGCCTGCTGGGTGGGAATAGGATGGCAGGCCCCTGGACCTTGGAGCCCTCTCTCTTCCAGGGTCTTGGTCCAGATGTGCAAGATGAAGGCCTTTGGAGAACTGTGCCCAGACAGTGCTCCACTGCCCCAGCTGGCTTCTGAAGCTCTGCGGGTAGGCATCTTCCCTGGGGTGGGGATAGGGCCATGGGCCTGAGCTCACTAACCACTCCTTCTCCCTGCCTGCTTCTAACAGACAGGCACTGTTGAATGGTTTCACTTGATGCAGCAACATCATCAGCCCATGGTGCAGGTAGTTTCTGGGACAGGGGTCGAGGGTGGGTATGTGATGTCTGCCCTTGTAACCCTGCTCAACTACCTGAATCCTTCACAGGACATCTTGGAGGCTGGCAAGGCCTTGCTAAGCCTGGTCCACGATGTTATGAGGGATCTCTACCAGTGCCATCGCACGTGGAACAAGATTTTCCATAAGTGAGCATTTGTGGGTATGGAGCTGATGGGCCCATGGGACCCCAGTGGCTCCCACTGTCACACATGCTGCCTTTTCCCCAGCGTCCTCAAGATAGACCTCTTCACCATAGCCTTTATGGAGCTGCAGTGGCTGGTGAGACCCTCTGCCGTCTCTAGGTAGCGCCCCTCTGTTCAGCTCTGCACTCCTGCCCAACAAGCTTTTCCTTGTAGGTGGCCAAGAGGGTGCAGGACCACATAGTAGCAGTGGGCAACCTCGTTTCTCCAGACATTGGAGAGAATCTGTTTCAGCTCTATGTCAGCCTGAAGGAGCTCTGCCAGCTGGGCCCTGTCTCCTCAGACAGGTGGGCAACACGTGGCTTGAGGGTGGGCTTCAGGCATGCAAGAGGGGAAAAGGTTGACAAGGGCTGTGGCCCAAGGCCAGCCCCTGCTGCCTTCCTCTGCTCTCCCCAGCCTTGGAGTCCTGGCCCTGGATGGTTTCCATCGCTGGTTCCAGCCAGCCATCCCTTCCTGGCTGCAGAAGACTTACAGTGTCGCCCTGGAGCGGGTGCAGCGTGCTGTGCAGATGGACATGGTACAGGCGGGGGCCGTAGGTTTGAGAGTGTGGTTGGATTCCCTGCTGGGACCTCCTGGCTGGTAGAAGCCTGTAATGTTTCTGAACCTCTCATCTGGGCATTGTTCAGCGGCTCTGGGTACCACCTTATATGGCCTCCTGAGATCCCAGGGCTCAGTAGAGCATCCTTGAGCATAGGGATCCTACAGGCTGGAGGGGCAGTGGGCAGAGCCTTGTGTCTGTCTTCCCCGGAGCCTCTGTGCTTGACAGTGGTAGCATAGATTTATGCTTGCCTGTCCTGAGCCTTCTTTCCTAAGTGTTTCCCTTTCCCCAGCTGGTGCCTCTGGGTGAACTGACCAAGCACAGCACTTCTGCTGTGGATCTGTCCACCTGCTTTGCCCAGATTAGCCACACTGCCCGGCAGCTGGACTGGCCAGACCCAGAGGAGGCCTTCATGATCACTGTCAAATTTGTGGAGGTACAGTATCCCTTCCTTACAGGATGGCTTCACCCCTGCCCTACCCAGTTTCTCCCGGGCTCTTAAACTACCAGCCACAACCAGCTCCCTAAATAGCTTGTGTCCTAAATTCCAAGTTTCTGAGATTCCTCTATTTACCCATTCTGGAAGCCCCACCCATCACTCCCTGTGATCCATCCGCCCTAGGACACCTGCCGGCTGTCCCTGGTCTACTGCAGCCTCATAAAGACCCGGGCCCGGGAGCTGTCTGCAGGTCAGAGGGACCAGGGCCAGGCAGCCAACATGGTAAGACCCAGAGCTGGGGCTGAGGGGCCGGCCAGGGTAGGGGTGGATTTGCTTGTCTTGGTGCTCGCTGCTCAGGAAGCCCCACATCCCTGTACCCATGACTGTCCCCAGCTCTGTGTGGTGGTGAATAACATGGAGCAGCTGAGGCTGGTCGTTGACAAGCTGCCTGCTCAGCTGGCGTGGGAGGCATTGGAGCAGCGGGTCGGGGCCGCGCTGGAGCAGGGGCAGCTGCAGAACACACTACATGCTCAGCTGCAGGGCGCCTTGGCCGGGCTGGCCCATGAGATCCGTACTGGCGTCCGGACCCTGGCAGAGCAGGTACTGTCTGATCCCCCAGGGACTGTGCCTGCCTTGTTCCTCAGCAGGGCCAGGGCTGTCTATCCTGAGACCCTAAACCTAAGCGCAAGCCTCAAGTCAACTGTCTGGATTTCCCCAACTCATTCCATCTCCCTTGTGTCTTAGTTGGAGGCGGGCATTGCCATGCACATCCAGAAACTCATTGCTGCCAAGGGGTCTGTTCTGCCGGAGGATGTGAGTGACTGTTCTGTTTGTTGACCTTCACTTCTGGGGCCAACTCCGTGCATCTGGGTTTGTGGTGGGGGTGGGGGAGGGGGAGCCTGAGGAGTCCTGAGGATGTCGGAGATCAGTCCCCCAACCTTGAGCCAGGTGTGACGTCTCCATGGGCTTCCGTGCCCTCCTCAGATGCTCAGAGAGGCAGGCTGGGTCATGGCCCAGGCTCTCCTGGCACAGCTGGATGGTGTGGGATTAGCTTTGGTAGCCTAGCACGTCTGGAAAGACACCTTCCCAGGGCCTATCATCTCTGCTGCCAGCTGACCCCAGCTCCTTGTGTGTAAAGGAGGGAGTGCACCACTGTGCCTCTGATTGCTTGGGGGAAAGTTCTCTTTTGTTGTTGATGTTGAGGAAACACACATTTTCATTCCAGATGCTGACCTTAGCACTGCTTTTCTAGGGCTTCTGCCCTGAGGACATAAAGGATGGCATAAAGGGCATAAAGTACAGGGATACAGCTGACTATAGACATAGTTTAACTATAAACACACATCCAGTCGTGTGTGTGTGTGTGTGTGTGTGTGTGTGTTTGCCGCACACTCACGTAGTGTGCTAGATAATGATAAGCGCTAAAGGAAAATAAAGCAGAGAAGGGGATGGGCTGGGAAATGTCAAAGGGTTGTAATTTCTGATAGTGGTCAAGAAAGTCTTCTTCTGAGCGTGACAGCTGAGTCAGGGCCCACAGGAAGCAAGAAAGGGATCTGTGAAGATGCCTAGAGGAAGAGCACCCAGGCAGGGGGGATCAGGAAGAGCAGAGGTCCTGAGGCAGTTGTGAGGGAAGGGTTTACAGCAGGAGGCAGAGGACAGTGTGGTCAGAGCAGACAGAACAACTGAGGTAGAAAGAGTAGAAAGACAGGGGACGGACCGGGGACAGAGCCACCAATGCAGACCTTATTATCCCATACACAAAAGCCTACCTTTATTCGCCTACCCAGGGGAAGGGGCTAGGGTGGAAAAGAGTGGGTGGAGTCAGGACTAAAACAGACCTGAGTCTTGTGTCCTTCTTGCTCTCTCCAAGGCCATTCTGCCACTGATGAAATTCTTGGAGGTGAAGCTTTGCTACATGAACACCAACTTGGTCCGAGAGAACTTCAACAGGTATGTAGCAGCCCCTGACCTGCAAGGCCCTCAGGCCCTCGGGCTCTGTGTCTCCAAGGCCTCAGAATTACGCTGGTCCAGAGCTTCACCTGACTCCAGGTATAATCTGGGCTTGATTGGCGGCCTCAAGATGACCTCTCTCCTAGAGTTCTGCTACTGAACTACAAGCAGAGACCCCGGAGGCTCAGGCTTCTTCCATTTTTATGCCATTTGTTGAACTTTGTTTGTTTTGTTCTGTCCTGTTTTTCCTCACCTAAGCAAGAACTGACTCTCCACTAAAATAGGAGCTTTGCTCAGAAACATCTAGAACAGTGCCTGGTGCACAACAAGCTCTCACACGTTAGGTGAAGTCACTAAAGGAAGGCCTCCTTCCGCACATGCTAGGCCTGCACCCCATCGCAGGCCTCCTCCACCCTCAGACACAGTTCTTATTTAAGATACTTACCGGCTCGGTAAGTATCATGCTGTGTCTTAAATCTCAGGTGGCTGTCAGGCTGTGTTCTTGGCATCATTTTACTCTCCTTACTCTTGCTGTGAGTTGCAATCCTATGTTATGCTGGGGTGCAGCTTTCCTCTCCACTCTTCGGTGGTTTGCTGCAGTCCCGTGGGCCTACTGAGGAGGGTTCTCCACCAAGGTTAAGGGACACGGTGATGGAACTGTGACTCCCTTTGACCCTGGGAGCAGCCCTTGGTATACCACCTGCCAGCTCTGACATGGCCTCACTGTGGAGCAGGTGGAAGGGGTGGGAGGGTGAGCCTGGCTTCCTGAGGCCTCTCTTGCTTTCCCCTGTTGTGCTGTCCTGTGCCTGGCATCCCTCTGCCTCCTGCAGCCTCCTCACTCTGCTGTGGACCCACACACTCACAGTGCTGGTGGAGGCGGCCTCTTCTCAGCGTACCTCCTCATTGGCCTCCAGCAGGCTGAAGGTAGCTCTTCAGGTAATTATACCAGCGGTGAGGACAGTAACTGTATGGGGTGTGTGCCCGCTGTGAATAAAACCCCAGGGTACGTGCCTGGAGCCATCTCTTTTCTCTTCCCCAGAACCTGGAGATCTGCTTCCATGCTGAGGGCTGTGGTTTGCCACTAGAGGACCTGCACACAGCCACTTTCCAGGTAATGCCTCTTTTTCTTAGCAGTGCCAGGAGTGAACCTAAGGCCTTGTTAGGGTCTTTTGATCAGCCCCTGGTTAGGAAGTCAAGGCAGGGAGCCTATCTTTCCGTATTCACCTGTATACAGGACCAGCTACATAATTCGTGAAGCGAAGTACAATATGAAAAGTTGGAGCCGGGTGAGGTGGTACAAGCCTGTAATCCAGCACTCAGGGAGGCAGAGGCAGGTGGATCTCTGAGTTTGAGGCCAGCCTGGTCTACAAAGCAAGGATAGCCAGGATAGTCAAAGATACCCAGAGAAACCCTGTCTGGAAAAACAAAAACAAAAAGTTGGGTCTCTAATTCAAAATTATTTTATGATGTGACAAGAAATCAATAACCCAAACGTGGCTCCTTCAAAGCACAGGGTCCCCGCGCCTGCACCAAGGAGACTATCCTTCCAAAGCAGGCGAGAGGTCTAGCGCCTCTGCCTCTGCCTCAGGGGTCTTCGGTGCACCCCTCTTTGTGGGTCCAGGACCCCAGCACTTCCTGTGGCAAAGCCACACCTTATGCTCTCTGAGTGCTCGCCTGCAACCTGGGCATGAGTAGGCATGAAGTTGTGCCATTCCAGGCTCTGCAGAGTGACCTGGAGCTGCAGGCGGCCTCCAGCAGGGAGCTCATCCAGAAGTACTTCTGTAACCGGATCCAGCAGCAGGTAAGGCGCCCCTCCTGTCCGGCACCTACCGAGGGCCACGGGGGGCTTTGCCCCCACTCGCTCCCAGCTCATCCCTATGCACATGCGCAATGCCCTGTCAGGCTGAAACCACTTCTGAGCGGCTGGGTGCAGTCACCATCAAGGCCGTCTACCGTGCCTGTGAGCAGAAGCTTCACGTGGAGCTGCTCAGCGCTTCCAACCTGCTGCCCCTGGACTCCAATGGTGAGTGGAGGCTGCCCTGCGCCTCTCCCCACAAGGACCTGGTGGCTCGGCTTTGAGCACCTTTCTTCCAGTTACCAGGAGGGAGCCATCCTGCTAAGGGGGACAGCTGGGGTGGTGGCGGTGGCTGGAACTCAGTCAGCAACCCTCCCTTGGGCCACTTGCTAGGTTCCAGTGACCCCTTTGTTCAGCTGACGCTGGAACCCAGACATGAATTCCCTGAGCTGGCCCCTAGAGAGACCCAGAAGCACAAGAAGGAACTTCACCCACTCTTTGATGAGTCCTTTGAATTGTGAGTAGGTCCTTACTCTTTTCTCAGGCCCTCCCTTTCCTTTCCCTCCCTCTGCTGTAAGGTGCCCCTGAGATGACCATACTTGGCCTGAAGGAAGAGTCCTTGGGACAAGAGTTTCCTTCCCCGGGGGAGAGAGGGGGATCCAGGGAAGGACCTGAGGTACTGGGGCCCCGCTCTTTGTTGAACGTGGGCCTGGGGGCACAGGACCTCCTGCTGTAAAGTCAGCCCCTGATCCGAGTGGCTGTTAAACCATGCGGCAGCGATGAGCCGGGCTGAGTGCCAACTGCCACACTGTTTCTCAGCAAGCGGGTAATCTTCATGTTGGAGAGAGGGATGGTTGATGGCAGATTTGGGTGAGGCAGGCAACTAACTGAGCCCAACTCCCTTGCCAGTCTGGTGCCCGCTGAGCCATGCCAAAAAGCCTGGGCGTGCCTCCTGCTCACTGTGCTGGACCACGACACTCTGGGAGCTGATGATCTGGAGGGGGAGGCCTTCCTACCACTCTGCAGGGTGCCTGGACTGACAGGCTGTGAAGAGCCTGGTGAAACACCTCAGATGCGCCTGCCTCTCACATACCCTGCTTCCAATGGTAGGCCCGAGGTCCAGGGTGGGGACTCTGGCAGGATCTCCAGAGATGCCTTGTTGGGAGAAGACAGGCAAACAAGTACCATGGCTCATGCCGCCAATCTCTGGTCTGATGTAGAGGACCAGTGAAATTTAAGCTCTGGGAGTATTACGTGACTTCTCCTGGTGGGGAAACCAGTTAGTTTCCCTGTGACGAGGCGCCTGGGTCTGTGCTGGGCACCCATCCTGCAGTGTGCTGACAGGAAGGTTCCCGTGCCTGTCTGCATCACCAGCCATTCTAAAGTACTTCAGGGCTGGCTGTGATGGCATACTCTTGTGTAGGCAGCACTCAGCAGGTGCATCTCTGTCAGTTTGAGGCCCATCAGAGCTCCGCAGTGAGGTCCCTGTCTCAAATGAGGAAAAAGCACCTTAGGTATATTGACTTCCAATTCTCACGGCTCTACCTGAGGTAGTCTGTCTCTGACAGTGAGTAAACAGAGACGTGCAGTTAGTAGCCTAGCCTCAGGTTCTCGTGGAAAAGGGTAGGAGTCAACACCCAACACCCATGTTTCCAGACTTCGTCGTCAAGACATGCCTTGTGGATTTTACTGGTGTGTGTTCACCAGTTTCTTCAAGGTTGGCACAAGAAAGGGGACAATATTATTTTCTAACCAGGAGTTTGACCCTCAAACCTTTCTTTCCACAGGGGATCCAATTTTGCGGCTGTTAGAGAGCCGGAAGGGTGATCGTGAGGCCCAGGCCTTTGTAAAGCTGAGGAAGCAGCGAGCCAAGCAGGCCTCCCAGCATGCCCCACACCTGGGGCCGTAGCAGAAGAGAAGCCAGAGTCCTGAAAGTTTTGGGTCTTCCTGCTACAGGGAAGCAGGTGTAACACATCCTGGTGTAACACAGAGGGAGAATCAGTATGTGGAAGGCCCAGAGTTCTTGCCAGAATAGTCCTTGATGATGGACTACCATGACCAGGATTTGTCCTTTGTTGTCACTCCCTTGTGTCTCAATGCTGCTCTCTGCCATATTCTAGCAGAGGTCCATCTCCTGTCCCTGCTGTTTCCCCTTCCCCCAGAAAAGCTGCTTTGGTAGGGTAGCATTCAGGGCCATCTGCCTTCAGGAACTGCCAGTCCCAGCTACTGTGGGGTGGGGCCAGAACTGTGGGCATAAACTTAAGAGAGAGAGAGAGGACCCTGTCAAAGCCACCCTGGTGGAGGAAGGGGGTGGCCATTACTACAGGGAGAAGGGAAGAAACTCAGACTCTGAGGTGAGTGCTGGCAGGAAGCAGGGCAAGCAGATGGGCAGCAGCAGAAAGGACAGTTTGGCTGTCTACAGAGTAAGCTTCCTCCCTCACATAGAGCACCTGCCACCTAGAAATGTTCTTAGTGAAAATAAAAATAAAACATTATCCACTGCCCTCAGAAAATCTATACTTGGCTTACAGTGGGCCCAGGAAGATCTGTCAGGGCCAGTATGCCTCCTCCTTAGACTACATTGCATGCTCCAGCCATCCCCGGAGCTCGGGCAGCTCTGCAGAGGCCAGAGGAAGCTGACATAGGAGCAGTCCTGGAGTGGTGCTGGCCTCTCAGGAGTTGGGTTTCTCCTTCTACCCGGGTTCCAGGATCCCACTCAGGCTGTCTGACTCAGGCAGCATCTTTACCTGCAGAAGCCGCCTTGCTGGCCCTCAGCCGTGACTCTGAACACACTCGACCTGCACATCAGTTAGTGTGACTGCCGCCCAGGAAGGGACCTGGTGTTGGGGGACCATGAGGCTGAGCAGATGCTCTAGACAGTAGAGTGTGTGCAGAGTCACCTGAACATTGGCTTCCAGCCTGGTGGTCTTCAAACTGGACCCTGGTAAAGTAAATCTGCACACAGACCAACAGTTGCTGACTGGCAAACTCTAGCTGAGGCCAGGCAGAGCACCCCACCCAGATGTGTTCTCATACTCGAGATCAGGTGGGGAACAGGGTAAAAAGGTTTACTTAGGGCAGGAGGGATGCAGGACACTTCCCCAGACAGGAAGAGCTGCCCAGGCTTCGAGAGACAAGGGATGGCCCTGTTACTGTTCGGAGAGCAATTAGGAAAATGCCCACAGCAGGTTGCAAAGCACCAAGCGGCGTCACATGGCTTGGTGTGTGTGTGTCACTGTCTAAAGCTTGTAGGCCCCCACAATGATGAACCTAGTAAGTCTGGCCTGGGGGCGCATGAGCTGCCTCTGCACCTGGATAGACCCTCCCTCGGCTGCTTTACTTGTGTCTTTACACTGCAGGATGTGGGTACTAGGCATTTCCACCGGCCAAAGCAGAGCTCGCCACCCGGAACTCTGGATGGCCTCATCTGTTGATCTGTGCCCCACAAACAAGCCACTGCAAGTTCATATTTTATTTCCAATAAGTTTGTTGATTTTTGCATTTTTGTAAAAAAGGAGAAAGTTTTCACTTAATTCATTGAAAGCCCTTTCGTGCTGAGCCCAAGGGAGGGGCCTAGGCTGGGGCAGATTCTTTATAGCCCTCTAGAGCCCGCTGGACACCCAGTACTGGGAGCAGGGTTGCCTCCCTCTGCCCACTCTGCTTTCCCATTTCACTGCGTCTCTGTACAGAACAATTTTAAAATTGAAGCTAAACACAATATACATCGGACAGGCACGCACACACATGCACACAGGCGTCTGCCCAGGGGCAGTACGTCAGCTGCACTCAGAGAGCACCAAGGAATGCTATGGCCTCCTCCATCAAGAAGGGCGGGGCTGGCGCCCCTTGGTCCTCACACTGCACTCCTCCCGACAATCACCCTGCTAGCTGCCAGAGGGAGGGAGCCGCTGGCTCTACAGCCGTGTGCCAGAGGGAAGGAGGCAGGGACAGGTGAGGGCAGTGCCAACCTGACAGGTGACTGTGGGGCCAAAGCGGCCGTTGTGGGGATTCCAAAAGGAAATGATCAAGGAGAAGCCCAGGCTTCAAGATCCTGAGGGACAGAACTAGACCCCGACCCTTGAGAAGCTTCAAGGGCCCAGGTGTGGGAGTGGGGCTAGCCTATAGCTTTGGCCTGCCTGCTCCATGGCTGTCCCCAGAGTTAAATACAGATTTGGTAAACCCAGAAGCCAGGCTGGTTGAGTCTCAGGCCTCCCTGAAGCCCTCACAGCCGCGTAATGGGGACCTGAGTCCACACTACAACACAGACCCTGGCCTGGAAAGGCAGGTAAATGGAGCCTGCCCTTCCAGCCTCCCATCCTTCCCTGCTCTGGCCCCAGGAAGAAGTTAAAAATAGTTAGTTCCTACCTAAAAAAAAGAGACAAAAACATATTCACCGCCAAAAGGCCAGTGGGAAAAGAGGGGACTTTGAGCAGAAAGGATGGGGAATGGACAGGAGAGGACTGCAAAATAGTCTTTTCTTTAAAAAGTGCTTGGTAAGTCTGTTTTAAAGTGTGTGTCTATATCTATGTGCAGATATACACACAGACACTGTGCACACGCTGGCACCACGCACACCTGCACACAAGTGTATACATGTACATAATCATATACATATACATACATACGTACATACATACATACATACATATATATACTTTAAAAAGTCCTAGGTGAAAAGGTCTGGGCCCAGATGGGCCAGGTCTGCAAGGTCACGACTGGAGGGCATGGGCCCGGCTAGGCTGGCAGACAGGGCACTCACTGCCCTCAGCGCAGAGCTCACACAGCACAGCATGTTGGCACGGCAGCACAGCCCGGGTCTGCTCCTGACACTTAAGGCATTTCACTGACTGCATGTGGAACACGGCCTGCGGGAACAGGGCACTGCAGTTACTGGAATGGTCTCTGCCACCTGCCTGGCCTTGAGTTGAGCAAGAAGCTCTCTGACTCTCACTTCAGCATCCTTGGGAGGTGGACTGTGAGGCCCAAAGCTCAACATTCACAGGATCCCATTGGCAAGTGAGAGGAGCTCAGCCCCTGGGCCACTGTCCCAGCTCTAATGGCTGGCAAGGGGTGAGGGTGGGGCAAAGCTCCCATTCTTCAAGACTTTGGTTGGCACAAAGTCATTTAATGTCCCTTGCCATAGTTGATCTTACCCTAGACACCCAAGGGAGAAAAATATAAAACTCAAGGGACATGTCAAGGGGACTGATAGTTGAAAAATCTACTACTTCTATCAGGCAAGCCACTCCTAGGGACAAGCAGGCACCTGTTGGGCACATGGCTTAGGCTTAGGTATTAAGAGTACAAGGAGTGGACACTGCCCCTCTCTCCATGAGAACACTCTCTCCTCACCCTGTTCCAACAGACTGTTACCACTATCAGCCTAGCACTGGGCTTTCAGGAAGGTCCAAGCACTGAGATGACTGTCCCACCCCATACTGCTGACTGTGGGGCTGACCTTGTCCACTTGTTCCAGGTGGACCCGCAGCTGCTTCTGGAGGGAGTACAGGGTGGAGAGTGAGAGTGCCTCCAGGTCAGGGGCCGCTGGTAGGGCCTGGGCTTCTGGCCCTGTGTGCAGCCGCTCCAATTCCTCTTGCAGCTTCTTGACCCGCAGCTCCAGGGCATCCCGCTGCTCCCGGGCCAGCTCACACTCTGCTCCCGCTGCACTGGCCCGTTCACCAGCCTCCTCTGCTTCCTTTTTCCAGGCATCACAAGCCTGTGGGCCCAATAGGTAGCGCCTCATCACGATGGTCCCCTGCCCCTGCCTCCCTGCCCTCCCCCTCCCAGAGAGCATCTCCAGGAGCCAGTGTGGTCCATTCTGGCTGCATGAGAGGCCTTCTAGGAAGCTGGGCCTGCTGTCTGGGGAGGGGGCAGGGAGAAGTCTGCTGCTGCCTGCAGAAAAGAAAGGGTTTTGGGACCTCAGCAGACCCTCCTTTGTACTCAGGGAAGGGGGTCAGGCCTAGCGTGACAGGGGCGCAAGGCAGGGCTCACAACTTAGCCTGCAGCCCCTGGCAGCTGGACAGGTGGCCTAGCTCAAAATCTAGAAGCAAAGACAGGCAGGAGGTCCTAGGGCCGCTCTAAAAATAATTTCCTTATGGGGTCCCAGGCCTGTGGTGCCAGCCACCATAACATTCCAACTGGCAAGACCAGGCCTGCCATGGGGGAGGGCAGGCACATCTCTGTCCTGCTCTTTAGGCCCCTGCTTCCCCCCACCCGAATGCCTGCTGTGCAGGGTGGGCTTGAGCTTGACGCCACCAGGCACTGGGTACTGCAGGTGGGCGTGGGGCCCGGTACCTGCTTGGCCTGCTTCCAGGACTCCTCCCACTGCTTGATGGTGCCGTTAGCTTCATCTAGCTCTTGCCGAAGCCGGGCCAGCTCAGCAGCCCCTGGCCCTGATAGGAAGGCAGGGGAAGTGCCTGGGGAGAAGCTTCCAGAGGCAAAATGCTCCCAGATGCTGCTGTTCATCCCGTTCAGACCTGCCCCAGGGAGGGGAGGAACATCAGCTGTGCAGGGCGTAGGCCCAGGCCCTGGCCAGCCCTACGTGGGTGAATGCAAGGGAAGAGCTGTGAAGGTGCCCTTGGCCGAGTCAATTCTACACTTCAGGGTTACCTGCCACTACGTGTGGATCTCAGCAGCCTCATCTGTAGAGTGGGACTCTTACGGTCTCAGGGAGTTTAGGACTGTGTGGGACAGCAATCTGTGAAGCTGTCTTAATTGCTGAGCTATTGCATCCCAGTGAGAGGTGGAGAAGGGTCCTGACTGATCAGACAGGACAAAAGCCACCGGCCCGTGCCTCTGAGATGTGAGGGCTGGAGCAGGAGGCGCCAGGCAGACTTGGGCTCTCTCCATTGTTCCGCATTCAGGACAAAGACTGTGCTAGCAAGAACCACAAACAGAACAGGAGAGCCTGAGCACCAGACTATGGAAGCCTGCCCTTCCATCACCTACACTGCCCATGCTACCATTCAGTGGGCCTCCTGAGGCTATCTGTGTACTGCTCTCTGGCTGCCAGGGCAGAGCCTATCTTCATGGAACTCCCTGTTTACCTCTAGCTTCCTTCTACCCAGACACACTGTCCTAGTGACTTCTGCTCCCTTTCCCACTGACTGAACCAGATTTTGGACATTTTTTTCCTCTGAGCAATATCAGCACACTGGGGAAAAAAAAAGACATCGAATCAGTGCACACTTCATGCAGATCTAAGTTTGAGACTAGCCAGTGCTACTTAGTAAGACCTTGGTTGTTTTGTTTTGTTTTTTAAAATGAGTGTGTTTGTCCTGTGACACACCAATAGACCACTGACTGTCACAAAAATTAGTGCGTGTTAGATGCCTGTGTCACTCGGTGTCCTTCTGCGTCCAGCACGGATGTCAGAGGTTGTTAGGTGACACTTGCATCTACACAGCAATGCTAGGGGGTCAAGTGAGAGAGCTCCAGAATGTGGGGTCAGAAAGATACAACATTAGCACTTAACGGGATACAACCTGACCACACAAG